ATTGTTGGGGTATTTTCTTGCGGGATTGAAGGAGGATATACGCAACCAGGTTCGAATACAAGACCCGCAAGAACTAATGACCGCCATAAGAATCGCCAGGGATGTGGAGGAAGCTCGCCGGAGTAATAAGGCTAGGGGTTGGAGCGGAAATAAGAACCCATCCTCCTGGGGACGAAGTACAGACAGAGGAGGAACTGTGGCCCGGATTGAACCTAACCGAAGCAGTACAGGTAGGACAGGGGGATTCGAGAGCGTCGGTTCGGTCAGAAGGGAAGGACCACAGGGAGGCGCGAAAGAGAGGACCAAGATGACGAGGGGAAGCGATAATAAGGGAATAGGAATAAAGAACCTTCCTTACCAAGAATTCCTTAAACGGAGAGAGGAGGGACGCTGTTTCCGATGCGGTGGGCCTTTCATCCCAGGCCATCGTTGCCCAGAACGAAGTTTAAGGGTGGTGATACTAGGCGAGGATGAAGAAGGAGAGACGGAAGGAACAAAAGCCGCCGATATGACAGAGACCAATGTGGATCATAGGTAGATGGAGCTTTCTTCCTTTTTGGCTGGAGGGTGGACACAGCCCAGAACGATGAAGCTTGAGGGGAAGATCAAAGAGAGATCGCTGCTAATATTGATTAACAGTGGCGCAAGCCACAACTTCATATGTCAAGGGCTGGTTAAGGAGTTAGGATTGGAGGTAGAGGCTACCCGGCCTTATCAGGTGAGCCTGGGAGACGGTCAGAAGAGAAAGAAATAGGGGCTCTGCAAGGGTGTAATCCTACCGCTGGGAGAAGCTGAGATTGAAGAACAGTTCTACCTATTTGAGCTAGGTGGAGTTGATGCAATCTTGGGGGTAGATTGATTAGCAAAGTTGGGAGAAGTGATAACGAATTGGGGGAAACTGACTATGGTATTCAGGCAAGAAGGAAGGGAGGTGACTATCCAGGGGGATCCAACGCTAGCCAGGGAGGTAGTTGCACCGGAAGCCCTGCTCAAAATAACAAAAATAGAAGTGGTGACCTTAGTGTTGAATAAGGGACGAATGGCGAGAGAGGAGAACAGAGAGTTGGTTCCAAAGCTGACAGAATTGCAGGAGGAAGAGCTGGAAGATGTGCTGGAGCAGTATAAGGAGGTATTTCAGGAGCCAAAAGGGCTGCCCCCAGACAGGGAAATGGTGAATAAAACACCATTGAAGGAGGGAGTAGACACCATTAACGTACGTCCCTATAGGTATCCGCATGTGATGAAGGGGGAAATTGAAAAACAGGTAGAGGACAGGGATAATAAGGCTCAGTACAAGCCCTTATTCAAGTCCGGTTATATTGGTTAAAAAGAAGGATGGGAGCTGGATGTTTTGTCTAGACTATAGGGCATTAAATAGAGCCACCATCCTCTGCAAGTTCCCTATACCTATAATAGAGGAGCTTCTTGATAAATTAAGGGGTGCATGTTATTTTTCAAAGGTGGATTTGAAAGTTGGTTACCACTAGATTAAAAAGGGGGTTAAAAGACATCCAGAAAACAACTTTTAGGACACACCAAGGACACTATGAGTTCCTTGTGATGCCTTTCGGCCTTACCAATGCTCAGGCCACGTTTCAAAGTGCTATGAACAGCTTGTTAAAGCCATAATAAGGAAATTCGACCTAGTATTCTTCAATGATATATTAGTGTATAGCCAGTCTTGGAAGGAGCACCTGGGAAGAGTATTGAGCACTTTAAAACAGCATAGGTGGGTGGCTAATAGGAAGAAATGCGAATTTGGCAAGGTGTAGATCAAGTACTTATGGCACAGCATTTCTAAGAAAGGAGTGGAGATGGACACCGAGAAGGTGGAAGCACTTAGGGGGTGGACAAAACCCAAAAATCTCAAGGCTCTAAAAGGATTTATGGGCGTAACGGGATACTATAAAAGGTTTGTGAGGGATATGGGAAGATAGCACGCCCATTGACTGACCTGCTGAAGAAGGGGAATTATATGGTCAGATACTGCACGAGCACTAGTTCTGGCCTTGCCTGATTTCACCCAGCAATTTCACATTGAATGTGACGCATATGGAGGGAAGTAGGGGCTGTTCTCACCCAGAACAAGAGACCCATTGCATTTTTTAGCAAGGCATCCAAGGGGTCATTGAGCAAGTCAATTTATGAGAAGGAGCTCATGGCCCAAGTCTTTGCTATCCAGCATTGGAGACCTTATCTCCTTGGGCAAAAATTTGTGGTGCATACAGACCAGAGAAGTCTAAGATATCTGCTAGAGCAAAGAACTACCACACAGAACCAGAAGAATTGGATAACGTAGCTTCTAGGGTATGATTTTGACATCATGTATAAAGCAGGGGTGGCAAACAAGGTGGCAGACACCTTATCCAGAAAAGGGGGCGAGGCAGAGGAGGAAAAAGAGCTGAGAGTAGTGGCAAGGCCATACTGGCAGGATTTTCAGGAGGTATTGGGGGAGGTAGAGGAGAATGAACATTTAAGGAAGATAGTGGAGGACCTAAAGGAAAATCCTGAGTCGAATTTAGCTTTCACCCTGGAGAGAGGTCGACTCCACTACAAGGGTAGGCTGGTTATCTCAGCAAAATCAGTTTGGATACCCAAAATCTTAGCTGAATTCCAAACCATTGCAACTGGAGGTCATTCTGGAGTGTACAGAACTTACCGCAGGGTGGCACAGTCGTTATATTGGGTAGGAATGAAAAAGACTGTCACAGATTATGTAGCACAGTGTATAATCTGCCAACAGCATGGCCTCGTCACCTCAAGGGTTGTTGCAGCCCTTGCCTATTTCTGAGGCGGTTTGGGAAGAGATTAGTATGGACTTCATAGTGAAGCTTCTCGTAGAACCATTTAACTATACATTGATTCTTGTTCATTGATTCTTTTGATAATACAGAAATACTATTTTTTTTTGCTACCTATTTTCTTGTTGAGAGAGGTTTTGAGGGACTTTCTAGGTTTCTAATTCTAGAAACCTAACAAAGTGTACATGAAAATTCTCCTAGGTTTTGAAGTGAAAAAAAAAAGAAACAAGGTATGCCTCCTAAAGAAAGCATTGTAAGGTCTTAAGCAATCCACTGGACAATGGCTTGGAAGATTTGCAAATGCAATGGTATCTTTGGGATATAGACAAAGCCAAGGAGATCATACTCTATTCATAAAAGCACTCTTCTACAAGTAAACTCACTCTAATGCTTGTCAATGTGGATGATATGATTATTGCAGGAGATGACCAAACAAAAAAATTGGCATTAAAAGGAAAATTGGCACCCCAATTTGAAATGAAAGACCTAGAAAAACGCAAATATTTTCTCGAAATAAAGGTTGTTTATTCCAAGAATGGAATTTTCATCTCCCAAAGGAAATATGTACTCGATCTCCTCAAAGAAACAGGAAAGTTCAGATGTAGAACCTCAATAGTTCCTATAGAACAGAATCACAAAATTGGAAGTGAAGAAAGTGCTCCTGTAGAGAAAGCCCAATATTGGAGATCGGTAGGAAAAATAATTTATTTATCACACACAAGACCAGACATTGTTTATGTAGTTAGTGTAGTGTGCCAATTTATTTATCGCATACATGCAAGCAGTTGACTATGCAGATTTTATTACAGACAGAAAATCCACTGGGTATTGTATGTTTCTTAGAGATAGTCTGGTAACATGGACGAGAAAAAAGTTAGATAGAGTATCTCATTATAATGCCGAAGCGGAATTCCGAGCTCTTACTCAAGGAATGTGTGAAAGACTTTGGATGAAAATAATTTTGAATGACCTTAAAGTCAAGGTGGACAATCCCGTGCAACTATACAGTGACAATAAGTCTGCGTTGAGCATTGTCCATAATCCAGTACAACATGACAAGACCAAACACATTGAAATTGATAAACATTTCATTAAAGATAATCTAGAAAGAGGCTTTATGATTACAACTCTAGTTCCTATAGAACTTCAAATAGCAAATATTTTTACAAAAGGGCTCCCTTAAGGTAGATTTCATGATCTTATAGGCAAGTTTGGAAAGATTGATATTCATTTATCAACTTGAGAGGAAGTGTTGTAAAAAATATTAGTAGAAACTTGTTTATTTTTAAGTATATTTTTTCCTTATTTACTTATTTTTGGAAGATTAGATTACTACAAATAAGTTTGAATGATAATAATAAAAATTATTCCACTTTTCAAGTCCATTGTTCGGAAACGTCACCAAAATCGTCACAGTCAATGCTTAATCACACAACCTCTACTTTTCGTCCTTTGATTTCAACTGCCTGCAACCAAGAATGCCGCCAGAAACCATCACGTGCGGCACTCAGTTTAGGCTATCAATCACTGTGAACCGCTTCGCCCTTTTTATGGAAAATAAAAACTTACCTAACAGAGGAGATGGCATTTGATAGCCCTTGCACTCTTAGCCCACCCAAAGTCTGCACCTTTCTCTTCTTTTAGGGTTTCTTCCTTTTCCTTCAATTTCTTTTCTTAATTTTTGTAATATATTTGCAAATATCCACATATACCTATGGGTATATTTTAATAAGGTATCCAACGGGTAACGAAACGAATAATGGATGAAATTTTTAACCACAAGTTGGGTAGCCGGAAGCTACTATCTGTGCTTGCTTGACCTATTGTCATCCCTAATAGTCATATAAAACATAGCATGACAACTATTATTTGTAAACGATTATACAAAACTAATTTTCAAATATATATATATATATATATATATATATATATATATTGCTTAACTTAAAAGGCTTCAAGTTAAAAAATTAAAAAGCTTAATAAGTGGGTTTATGCCTAATTTAACCTCATAAAAACTGGCTAAATATTGTCTTTTCTACTAGTTACTTTCCCAATATTGCCATTAAGATTCAAGATCATAGACTACTGTTATAGCATGCCCAAAAAAAAATATTCCTTCGATTTCAAAGAAAAATAAGAAAATATAACTATTCCTTCAATTGCATAGCAAGACGTTTAAAAGGAAAAAATGAAGCAGACCTCTGGAATATCAGCATAATGTGTAATGCCTTTCAAAAGAAGAGGCATGTGGGCAGGATAAAGCCAATCAAAAAGGAAGCCATAAGTTCTGCGGCTGTTAACAAGCAATTAAGAACAATCAAAATAAATTAACATTGTTAACAAATAACAATGCATTTGTAAATGTAACAAAGTTTCGACGTTGTAATTACCAACCTATTAGTAGCCATTGCTATTCCTCGAAGGTCCCGCATCAACCCAATGAATGCAAATTTTACGGCATCTGATTGGAACAAAGCATCGGGAGTTGATTCCAATCTAGCCAAAACCTTAAAATTTAAAACAAAAATAAAGAATCAATTAAAATGTACAATAATCAATACAACATATCGATAATCACTAATAAATTGACAATACTTTATTGTACACTGCATAATTTGCTAGGCTCAATTTAATTGAGGTCCGACAAGCATCACTTTCACAAAAGAATCTCATGAAGACATGACCTTCTTAATTAGAAAATAAACTATGGTTAAAAGGACTAACCATTTGTCCACAAATGTCAACATTGTCTTTTACAGGACAAAATGAATATTAAAAATTATGACACATAAATCTGATGATTTTAGGGAAAAGTTTGAGTTTTTCACTCGCTATAACAAATGTTGTGTGCAACAAAAGTCAAAACGTACATTGTGAATGCAAGAGTGCAGACTGGTGCACTTGCCCTGACAACTAAATTAGAAAAAAGAAAAGGAGGGTAAGTCCATTACAAGGCACATAATAATATAAAATACATATAACTACTTAACACTCCTCCTCAGACAAAATATATACGAGATTTACTTCATAAACTCATATTGAAGAAGCTCATTCCATTTCTTCTCCTATGGTTTGAAATTGCAAATTATCTAAACACGGTGCTGATCTTTTCTCAGATCCTACTTTCAGATCAGTAGTTAGTGCATTGCAATATGCTACTCTAATTAGGCTAAAAATTAGTTTCACTGTCAACAAATTTTGTCAGTTTATGGCCAACCCACTTTATTTTCATGGTTTGTATTCTCAGCCAGCACTGCTACATAGTCCAGTTTCTTTCAAGACTTTGTGTGACGCTGACTGGACTTCTGATGTTGATGGAAGATCTACCCCAGGTGCAGCAATTTTTCTTGCTTCCAGCTTAATATCACGGCGGTCTTCAAGGCAACAAGCTATCACGGCGGTCTTGATGGAAGATCTACAAACTGCTTACAGAACTTCAAGTTTCTTTTAGCACTTCAACTCTTCTTTGTGACAATCAATATGTTGTTTCCATTGCCCATAATCCTGTTCTTTTATAATCACACAAAGCACATGGAGATTGATGTTTTCTTTGTAAGAGAAAAGACTATGGCCAAACAATCATGCATTTCTCATATTCCAGCTCTTGATTGGTGGGCAAATGTTTTAACCAAGTCATTCTCTTCAGTTCGCTTTGTTTTTTCTTCGTGGCAAATCAGTGTGAAGAGTTTCTCTTCTGAAAAATCTTCTCGTTGAGCTTGAGGGCAGTTGTTAGTATACATTCTATAGTTGACTATAGTTGACTTGTATATTTTACATTTGCATTGTTCATATGTAGGTTTACTTATATTGTACAACTTATCTATAAAGACACACTGTAGCTATGATTCTAAGCTAGTTACAATAATAAAAACATTTAGTTCATGTTCAATTCTCTCTCTTTTCTCTGTTCAGTTTCTCTAAGAATTCATCAGCAAAATGACCCCATTTTTTACAAGCATAGCAGTGTATACCTTTCTTGTAAAATTTTATCTGCCCTCCTCTCTTTTGATCACCTCCTTCCAAAATTTTCCACGATTGTCACCACTAAAATTATAATTTGACAGCCTGCTAGAACCTTCACCAAAATCTTGCACTTTGTTTGTCCATTTTCCCTTGTTTTTTGCCACCCCAACCATCATTTCTTTCAAATTTCTTTGCTCACAAAGCGTGAACTGCAGCTCTGTCAACACTCCATCCTATAAGTCTTTTGCAGCTCCTCCACCTTCCTCTTTTCAAGATCCTTTGATTTCTCAGGTGTCAAATTGGGGAGTCAAAAGTTCTTAAAAATTTCTCAATCAATTGCTGACCTGAAAACATCTCACCACAAGCTTTCATTGAGTTGAGTACCACTTGAATTCTATTGTAGCAATCCCCGATTGATTCTTCATCAGCCATGGATAGCAATTCATCTTGTCTAATAAATGATTGAAGCTTCATTTTCTTGACTTTAACAGCACCTCCATATGACTTGTTCAAAATGTCCTAGGCAGTCTTGGCTGAATTAGCCAAAGATATCTTCTCAAAATTGTTAGAATCCAGACACTGATGGATCAAGAAGAAAGCTTTCCAATCTTTCTTCTTCGATTCCCTGGGAACTGCCCTGTGCACCTCTTTAGCACCTTCCTCCAATTCTTTACAACTTCCATCACTTCTTGCAATCCAAAGATGACACCCATTTGATACTCCATTGATCAAAGTTCTTACTACCACAAAGAATTGGCAAGTTAGTCAATGAAAACCCATTAGAACCTACCAAGATTCACCCTCTGAACCTTGCTCAATTCCACTCCAAAAAGATTTGCAAAACAGATATAAAACCCACACAGGAAGGGTTCTCACACATAAGAATACCTCAAGCTAGTGGACATCACACATTCAGTCCCCAATAAAAATAGCTCCAGATAGCACTTGTTAGAACAAACTAAACACACTCATAAGAACAGAGAAGAAAAGAGAAAAAGGACAAGGGATATAGTGGCTGAATCTGAAATTTTATAGGCCTATTATAAGCAGTTAAAAAACAGCCAACTAACTACCAAACTAACATACAGCACTAACTGAATTATTTACAACATTTCCCACTCAGCTTAAACGTTAGTCTGTGTAATAAAAGTAGGAAAAGGAACATTGTAATTGCAGGAGTACAGACAGCTGCACCAACCTAAATTGCTACAGCAGAAAAAAAAAAGAATAAACTTCACAAGACACATCATAATACAAGATACAAATATATTTAGCAATAACAATTGAAATCAAATCAATATCTTTCCAAAAGAATTAATTTAACCAGTTGGCTCAAGTTAATGAAAACTGAAAAGAAGAATTGACAAACGTAAGGAAATTTATATTCAACAAAATTAACCTTTGCAACTTTTCTAATGCTTGGAAAATCAAATCAGACAGAGAACCACAACAGATTAGTTAAAGATTGAGCAGAAAGGACGATTTGGGGAATTGCTTGAGTTAGTATACACACAATAGCTACTTATATTTACAAGGCCACTAAAGATAAATATACTTTACAAGTAAATGTTTGCTACAAATACTGTGTAAAGACCAATTCTTAAGATCTTATGTCAGAATAATTGTTACCATTATGGGTCAGCGGCAATTTAAAGCTACCAACCTGTGAGAAAGGTTCCATTGTAGATTTAAATTTGACTGGGTTATCTTCCAAGAATATCAACATGCCAATAGTATAGTACAGGGTTGTTCTGCTACGGAAACATTCCCAATTTTCTATGAAAGGGAATAGGTCCCTCTGAAAAAAAGAGAAAAAAATTGCCCTTAGAAATCAACTGATACGATACGAACAAGCATATATACAGAAACTAAAATATCAAGTCAATTACTCTTGGCTGGCCCGTTTTTCTCTTGGATTACAAAAAAAATGACAGATTTGATATCCAGCTCCAACAAACTGTGCAGTTCAAATTCTAGACAACACTAGATAAAAAAACAATAGGCAAAAATACATACTTTCAAACTAATTTCAACATAGGCAAAAATACATACTTTCAAGCTAATTGCACAATTTAATTTTACCAATGAGCGCACCAGATTTTTCTACAATACTTTTGTATCTGTTTGGGAGAAAATAAAACACTTTACCATTTCAACTTTTTATACTCAATTACACACACACACACACATAAAAGGTGTGTTCTAAGTTGAAATTTAGAAAAAATGTGTCTAAAAACTATACTGGTCTAGTCAAACTACAAGGGAACAGTTTCTTAGCCTTCTAGTATAAATATTAAATGGTTAGCTTGCAGATTATGCTGTTAAATCACAATCTTCCACATACTCTCTTTAGTAGCATGTAAGATGATCTCTTAGTAGTGAATTCCACTTTTTCATTATATTTCATACTTTGTTTCCATAGTTAAATAGAAATAGGTATTTGTGTGTGGATATCCAAAGATGTTAGCTGTATTTTATAATGTAATTAGTAGAGGAAAAAAGTGCATAGGGCAACAAGGAGGTCAAAAGTGTATGTCATCCTTATTGGTTAAGAGGCAACTCACATTCTTGTTTGAAATCATTTGTTTAACACTATCCAGTTTAAGAAGCAGCTTTCCTGACATGTAACTGCAAAAACAAAATCCTTATTACAGAAATCAAAATAGAAAATTGTAAATAATGAAGACTTCAAGTTTTTGAGATGGAAACCAAACTAACCCAGATGTCATTTCCAGAAAGAGATTCAAGGTATGATCGATAACCTCTTTGCACTGCACATAGAAACTCTCATTCTATGAGCTCAATAATAACAGTAATGCAAAAGATTATGTCTAAAATTTCATCATTACCTTTGTGTAGCATTTAAGGTTAGTAATCATCTTTCCCACAATAACATTTAGTAGTAGTAGATGATCATGGAGTCCAAGAAGTTCAGATAGTCGGGTATATAACTGCTCCAATTACAGTCGAGAAAATTACAGACATAACCTTAATAATATTTAAATATTCAAAGGAAAATAACTTCCAATTTTCTACCTTCGATGAAGAAACAATCTGGTCACCAATATAACACTTTCTAAAATGTTGAAAGAATGTTAGTATAGCACGATCAAGTCTTTGCTTGCTCACATCTTCATACCTCTGAATTAATAAGTCGTTAGTGCATTCAGCAAGGACAGCTATTTAAAATAAAATACAACTACATCCTCATGCTAGCATCAACACACAAATATATATTCGTAGTGCATTCAACAAGGATGGCTATTTAATGTCCACGACTAAGAAGCAGGTAACTGTTGTATAAATCATATTCATAAGGCAAACAACCTTAGTAATTAATTCATCAAGGGAAAAAATATTAAATAAAAATATTGAATGCATCAGATTGACAGATCTACCCTTAACATTTATGATATCTTTCAAACTATAAAAGCAGAGGACAAGCTCAGAAAAATATAGAAAGTATCATAGAAAAAGGATTGTAATAGCACTTGATAAAAGAGAGAACAGAAACACAATTATGCTAAAACCGTTTTCTAAACAACACTCTGCAGCTGGTTTACAATTAGAGGATAATCCATTACCTCTATCAGATATCAAATCCTATTAAATAGGTTATTGTTGTAATTAGAGAAAACATGTGTACGATCTTCTAGATTATTTTGTTTCCTTACTTCCCTTTCTAGAAGATTAGATTGCTACAAATAGAGGTAAGGAGAATGTAATTACCATGAATATAAATAATAAAATCATTCTCTTTTTCAAGTTGGTATCAGACCTCCCAATCTTGGGAGAACCATTTCCGCTGCAACAGTAGCCACTGTCGCCGCTATCCGACCACCGCGGCTGCCGCCATAGCCAATTGGGGTCGTTGATAGGGCAGAAAGGTCCGCCCAACTCTGGTGATCACAACACCAAAAATCAGTCCGGGAAAGAAGTCGCCACGTGCCCCCACACGCCGCCATTGTCGTTGGCGCGTGCAGCCCACGTGCCTTGTTGCGGCTAGACCCACTCGCCGCCGCCGTCA